ATGGAAACTGAAATGAAGGGCTTCTTTGGTACAAGATACAAAGAAATATTGCTGAGAATGCAGAAAGCTGTATTAAGTAGCACTCTGAACATTGCAAGAACATTTAAACTGGTTACAGCGTAAGAATTTTAAGGACATTATGATTTGGTTTTTATGAACAGGATTTTATGAACATTTTAAGTTAAGAATATTTTAAGAACCGAACAGTAAATCATGAACACTTAAAAAAAAAAACATCTTAGTATTGGGCCAATTGACACTTTTATCGTTTTATATTGATCATTTATATTTAAGTAGTATTAGATATTATTATAGTTAACAGTCCTGTCATGCAGATAGGCTACGAACTTTCGCCCTATCTTGCTTAGCTCACTAGCATCCAAACGTGTATACTGCATAATAATAATACAAGTTAATTGAAGCTCCCCCTCAGGGGCTTTTCAGCCACAATGTAGACTAACTAAGAGCTTAAAAATCCCCACTGGCAGGAGACAGACCAGTGGGCTATTTACAGATCGCAGCCGAGGAGTTGAACTAGGGGCAACCGAGAACAAATCCAGCGAGTATCAAAAGTAATTCAAGGTTGCTTTGGAATACCTGTTATAATAGACTGAATTACGCGATCATTTAAAATTGGTTCTTGCTAATAATCTATGGGAGCACAGCCGCATAGACGACGTCATCATCGACAGAATTTTGCTTCTTTATCATGTAAAACAAATAGATTCCATGTTATCGTGGGTCTGTCCACGCGTGGGGACGGGGAGCGTTGCGTGACTCCGACCCGAGCGGCTACGAAGGAGGCTAGTCCACTAACAGATCACAGAAGACGTCAACATGTGGGTAAGAACATCAGTTACAAATGAGACTGCGCCTCATGTGTCACGTTTTTGTTCTCATCACATTTTGACATCATTTGTGATCCATTACTGAACAAAATAATGACAACTTCCTTCTCTTAAAGTCAAGTTCAGTCCAGTCCAGTCCAGTCCAGTTCAGTTCAATTCAGTCCAGTCCAGTCCAGTCCAGTCCAGTCCAAATCAGTTCAGATAAAGTTTTCTCCAGTCAGAGTCCAGATTAGTCGAATCCGGTCCAATCTGGTCAGTCTAATTAATTAATCAATTAATTAGTTAATTAATTAATCTGGACAGTCTAATTAATCAATTAATCTGGACAGTCTAATTAAGTCATTTCCATTGTAATCTAAATCAGTTCAGTCCAGTCCAGTACAGTCCAAATCATTTCAGATAAAACTAGCCGAAAATTTTAAGGAGGAAAAATAACAGTGAATCAAGTGCAAGACCTTCCCCAAGGAAGAGGGCATTTCTACACAAATTAAAATGGCTTAAACATTGCTAAGAACTATATTACACTAAGCAACCAAGAGAGAAGAAAAACATTCTGGCGTAAGAAGGCAATCAAATAAATGAAGCAAATAATTTTTGATCCGTCTGACCCTTAATTTCCTCTGAATTGTCGGTTTTTATCCACTTCACGTCTCCAGACTGCTTGCAAAGTAGAGTTGCGTTACATCCGGTTTGAGTGTGAAAGGTAACGAAGGAGCCTTGAAAAAGAAGAGTATTGCATTTGCCATTAGAAGAACTGGTGGAAAAGTACTCAACCGGTTTGATTGATAAGATAAAAATAATCAATCGGCTGTAAAAATGTGCATTCTCGGAGAACAAATATGATAATTGAATCCTTTATTATCACACGGAAGATTTTTATGTAGCGTCGGTAGTATTGTCGTACTATGGATCGTCGGTGCCGTAAAAACGGTCAGAGAAGCAAAACGCGATTAAAAGTTGGTGAAGGTATCAATGAGAGAAACGTCGCAAATGAACAGAAAGGTGCGATATTGTAGTATTCATTCGGATGGGTACTATGTGAATCTATCATGACTTGTAGTTAAACAGCGTTACCTACTGATAGTCACGCGAAACCAAGTCTGACATAGGTGTTAATTTGACTTAATACCGTCTTTGTGGTTGGGTAAATTGCTCGCTGTTTAATTTCCTTCTTGGTGGTTTATTTGAAATCAAGTTCTTGAACAGTGTTTCGACCATCAACGAACGTAAAGGTCACTCAAATAGTGTCCACACTGGTTTGTTCAGTTAGTTCTTTCTTGAAAGAGGAACCCTTGTCACTATACGTGATCAGTTAATCAGTTGTGGGTGTTAGTTCGGCTATCAAGTAGAATTCTCTCCAATTAGGAGGTCTTTCTCCTCAAAAACTTACTTTGTTTG